CTTTATAACTAGTCTAACTGCTTATCTATGCTTGTACCTAGGAAACCTGGGAAACTCTAAGCAGCTATCCCACACCGCAAGTTGCATGCCAATCACCTCAGCAGGGATATACTAGTGGTAAAATGAGACTTTGGAGAGTCTAATGAGTAACGTGCAGTGCAGATGATGCATTTTTCTTAATTTTCCATTTCAGAAGTTCTTATTGTTTCTCCATGTGATACAGTTTTATCTGCTGGTTGTAGCTTATACAACAACAAAGTGTTTTTACAGCTCAGGATAGGTGTTTTTCTGTCTTCTTATTAATCTAAAGAAATAGGTATCTTGATGAGAGTGACCTTCATTATACCTCAGACCTGATCATTGCTCCCTGTGGGCTCCATTACCTCAGTGAAAGCCATAGACAAAGTTCACTCAATAATTAGAGGGACTGGAGTTGTTCTGGTCTGGGAACCTGACACCCCTGCTGTGCTGAATGGCAGTGTACAGATGAGGGATTCGAGAGCTAAGACAGCAAACTAAATTAAGGCTGCCTAAGGTCTGCCTTGTGCATTAACTTGCAAATAAGGTGGGGGCACAACAAAAAATGAGTGATCCTTTCCTAAGTAGTAGTAAATCATTCCCAGTTACGATGTGTTCAAACAGGTAGATGTGAGCTCTCGTGTGTGATTCAAACCTACAGTTACATGAGATGAATACTCTGTAATAAAATATATTGTTTTGTGTCCACTGACAGGTCTAGTAGTTACCCAACAAAGCTTGCTGTATTTTCTGTGCAACCATCTGTTTAGAAAAGAGATTATAAGTAAAATTTTAATATAATATGAAATATGTATAATATATATTTGCATACACACATGCACATAAATACGCATGTGTGCACATGTCTGAACTAATCAGTGCATGATGAGTACTTCATACAAAGAGAAAATCTTTCACTGTTAAATTAACGGACAAAATTCATGTGTTGAACAGCATTGCCCTTCTATGTTATCACCTACACCTGCCCTGAAGGACTATCTGGAAGCGTGACCTACAGACAGCCTGTCCTATAGCACCCAGACATAAACCAGGTCAGGGCCTAGGGCAGCTCTCATGATACAGAGTGGACATCCACAGAGCTTGTCCGAGTTCCTCTCAGGAAGACTGCATTACGGTTGGATTTTCTAAAAAACATAAAGCCATATGTAGATATAACTGAAAACTGGAAGGCAGATATGAATCAAGATGGTTAAAATGGGACTTTGGTGGACATTGTGCAATGCTGACCTGCTAGTGGGTAATACAGTCCACCTCTAGCTGTAATGTGTGCTGAATGGTAACGGTGGGCTTTGTGGCTTCTGTGGCCTTTCACAGCGTGGTAGTTCTCTGGAAAAAAACCCTGCTTGCCTTTTGGCTTTCTGCATCTGCTTATGTTAACATCCAGTTACGGCATCTGGCCCAGCTACAATCCCCAAACCAGGCAGAGCTGCTGCGTGTGGAGGTGCTCCTGCTGCACACCAATCAGCCAAATAGGGAACTTCCCCAAATGTGATTGAGTCCATTTCATCTTTAAAATGTGTTTTTAAGCATCCCGCTTTCCCAGAGAGCCTATTAACAATCAAACCCTTGGTTAGGTGGCCTTGGAGAGGAGGGTAGGAAGGTGAGGCTGCCCTTTGTCTCCCCTTTTGAAGCAGTGCCACTGTGCAGAGGGGAATGTCAGACTACTCCCCCAATCTTCCTAGCCTGTCCTTTCAAGTCAGATTTCTGACTGAGGGGGAGGAAGCAGCAGAGCTGCCCTCAGATGCCTGAGAGGTGGGTGCCTCTTTTCCTGGGCTCCCTGAGGAGCCCATCCTGCCCTTGTCTGAGGGAGGGGAGTCCCGGGCAGGCAGGAGGGGTGAGTCATTTGATTGCATCCACCTATTTTGGCTTTGCATGGGAGCAGAGCAGGGAGCAGCAGCATTGGAAGGGGAGTGTTACTGTAAAGGCGCACACAGGACAGAATGACAAGGTTCACTTTTTAATAACAGTGCCATCTTGAGCAAGCCTCACCCCTTCATCTATTTACTTCCACCACAGCCCTTCTTTTCATTATTTTTTATGCTGGTTTATTTTTCAAGTGGAAGCAATTCCTCTATCCAAGTTGCAAGAAGTGACAGTGCCAGGAGAAGTGAGGGTGTGGTAGGGAAAAATTAGCAATAGGAAAAGAAAGTAGGTGGAGACTCCCAAAATGGTCTTAAACAACACTGCTGCTGAGTGAAGAGCTATTGCCAGAGGGTGCCACTAATTGTTTCCATCATGACAGCAAATATCTTCTGGATTCTCCACCTAGCTCTTTTCATCTTTCTTTGGTTTTAGACACTACTCTTTGGCTTTTCATCCCTTCTCTATCGTTTTGCCAACCTCTTTTTGGATCCTCTGATCACAGATGTGTTTTATGCTATGATCACCAAGGACACGGGATTATACCTGCCATTCCATGACTCCTTGGTTTATTATATCAGCTGAAGGAGTCCTCTCCTGTATTTGTTTCTTCCTGGTGGAGATTATTCCTTTGTTTTGGACTGTTTGTATGTGGTCTCTGACACACTCAATGCTGTTGGGTATTTAAGGGCCACCTGTTAATCCTGTCTGGTCACTGAGCTGTCACCAGCCTCCTCTTCCTCCTGTTTGTGTGGCTGTGGGTGAGGTAAGATAAGCAGAAGCACAATGTGTTAAGAGGAAATTTATACTATATTTGACAGCATTACCCTGTTGATGGCTGCCAAGAATATGACTGGCATCATTTTCTTGGGTCTTTCTCTGATCTCAGATGTAAATTTGATATGTGTTCAGGCAAGCACATATTTCAGAAGAATTTTAAAGAAGAATTTATTCCATATATAGCTGTATTACAAGTATTTACTCTGCTGAATTGAACTCCAGCCATCTTCACAATTTCTCTGTGTTTAAGGTGAGTAATCATGGTGTCATCTTTAATAGTGCAACTATTTATGGAAATTGGAAATTAAAAATCCCAGTGGTGAACATTCAGGAAATTTACTCCCATGTTCCTTTTTGGGAAATGAAAGAGAAACCTCATAAGGGTCACCTATAATTGTGGGTGAAAATAACCCACTTGTGTTATAATCTGTAGTTAGTAATAAGAGCACTAGAGTAATTATTTTTCTTTTTTAGTTCTAACACATGGTACTGAGATCCTATTTCAATGACCCACTTTGAACTGAACATTTCCCCTCCACCTGCATTTATAAAGAACATCTCCGTATTGTGACTTCTTAGTGTCAAATTTTTTTAAGTGTTGCCTTACAGGCATATAACACCACAACTCCACCTAATTTCTAAATGTAGTGTATGCTTATACTCTTGTATAGTGCTTCCAGCTTTTAAAGAGAAGTTTTCAAAAGAAGCAAAGGTGTCTAGGTAGGTTGATGGGAATTACATATCTCTCTCTGCTTTTGTAAACTCTTTACTCTAACATATTGTTGCATCAAATATACATGCATCCTGTATTTGCAAATTTCCATAACTGATATATGCTTTGTCTAGCAAATTTCTATACTCTCTCTTGATGGAAGACAGAATATTTACTTAAAGTAAATAGATTGTATATAAGGTCCATCACTGCTCATATAACTAAAGAAAATATAAAATGTCTCACCCCTATGTGTTCTTCAGGCAACCTGAAAACATTAAAAAAAAATACTTAGAGACAGAGAATGAAAATCACATAAATATTGTTTGGATTAAAAAAAATATTAGAGCTTTTTTTTTTTTTTTTTTTTTTTTTTTTTTTTCCCCTATGTAGAGCATGGGTGGCAATAAAAAAGAGATCAGAGAAGCAGTGCCAAGGGGAAATGGTGTCCTGAGCCCCTTTGCTACCATATGTCCAGGTAAAAGACCACTTTATTTTCTGGGATGAAGTCAGCTCCATTATTTGCTTTCTCCGAGTCAGAGATCGGGTGTAGAAATATCAGTGTGCTTGACAGAAGGAGTCAAAGGAACACAAAGCAGTAGGGTGACAACGTGACATACTGGCTCCTGGACTGAGTTAACATGTCACACAATGCTGCAAGACAGTGTATAAAAAAAAATGCAAGAACTACAGGGAGAAGGGGACTCTTCACAGGACTAAGGGTCCAGTGCCTCTGAGCTTTTGTTAAAAAATAATAAAATGATGAAGAAAAGATACAGTAGCAGATAGTACTGAAAGTTCAAGGATTGCTTAACTCCAAAGCTATCTCATCAGAAAACAAGATGAGAGAGTGAGTAACATCAAGGGCTGGAAAAGGAGGGGTGGGGAAGGGGGAAGAGGGAAGACAGACAAATGTGGATGACATCTTGCAGCCTGAGAAGAAACAAAAAATTATTGGTACTTCCCAGTCAGTCACCAAGACAACGGCAGATTGGATTTGAAGCTGCCTGTAATAATTTATGACTACTTTGTCTTGGTTGGATTATTGTGTTGCTTTGCCTGCTTATGTTGGATTAATTAGCTTGGCAAGGGCTTCAGCCAGAAAGGCAAGGTAGAGGGAGAAGAAAGGGCGAATTTGGGGAAATTTGGATCTACAAAAGGGTGATATAAAAATACAGGTGAACTTGGAAAAGGTTATTGCTCTTGTTGTTTTGAACATCTTATGTGCTATGATTTCTTCCCAGTGGTAATAGAGAGAGACACACACAAAAAGCAGTGACAGCAAAATCCCTCGTTGCTATAAAAGGACCTTCTGTTCCCTGTATCCACTGCTGATCTTAAGCTCCCAAAAAGAAAGGTCAGAAGCACGCCGGGACCTAGAGGGATCCCTTGGCCCTGAAAGCCAGCTGCAAGGAGAATCATGGCATTTGCACCCCTGGAAGGGGGTGGCAGGCCCAGAGCTTGGTGAGATGGGACACGTTAGAGAAGCTGAAGCGATGGTCCTGCAGCAGCTGTGTCGCAGTAGCATGGTACGTTTTGAACACAGGATTAACAGCGATAACAGGGAAGCTGAAAGCAGCTGCTTGAGAACACCGGTTCAAAAAATAACCTAGGAGTGGGATAGCAGAGGTGGACAAGCATCAGGCAACATGCTGCACTTAGCACTTCCATTGGCTGGAGGATGGAGAGATGGAGGCTGGCGTGAGGGAGAGTGCCCTTTCACAGTCGCAAGGAGCTGAGTGACAAAAATCCCACTAGTCCATTCCTGCTGGGATACCCACACCTGTTAGGGGCAAAGATGGTAAATTGCACACACAGGCAAATTGCTCACCATATGGTCTAATTTCCTTTGGGAGCAGTGTGTGGCAAAATGTAGAAGAAACCATCCTACAGCATACAAATCTGTTTGTTATGACACTGGACCTGATAGGTTTGTTATGACACTGGACTTGATAGGCTTTCATTTTCAAAAGCCAAAGGTTTTACTGGGGATTGGCAGTCCTGCAGACTTCTGTTTCTTGGGTCACCTCAGAGGTATATTAAAACTTCCAAGAAACAGCAGTAAGAGAGCATTAATGATGGCAGGGAAAACTCTTTTGCACCACTGAAATGGATGTTAGAATTCAACTCCTGAGCACATAGAAATGGTAGAGGATCTGTCTGTTCTGCTCCACCTATAAACCTACCAAGCTTCATTCCAAAATAACCACGCTTCTAACAAAGTATTTTTTAAAAAAACAAACACCACTGATTCCCCTGCTGCATGACCAAGATTTATGGCTTCAGTAAAGTGACAAATGTGAGGAAGGAGCAGTCTGGTATGTGCCATGCTTTTCACGTTGTACTGATTTTATTACCTCTGACGTTTTAAGCTGACCAGGTAGAAAACATCCTGTCCCTATGCATACAAAGGAACAGTTCAACATGGGGGTGTCTGAAGGTTGAAATTAGTGCACATCCCACACAAATGTATTTGTGGATATAATTCAGTAGTACAGCCTAACTGTTTGGGTTGAACCACCCGTTTATATGCCTGTATTTTTCTTGACTTGTAGCTTTCCCTTTCAAAGATATTATGGCAGACCTCTCTTTCCCCTTGAGGCTGGGGCCAGCTTAGAATGCTACTTTAGGATTACAATAAATAAACTTACAAACAACATAAACAAGAAAAAGAAATGGCAACTCTGAGCCATTCATCATTTTTCTTTCATTTATTTTTTCTCCCTACAGCTACTGCAGTAGCCCTTTATGAACCCCAAATGTTCCTTGCTCTTCTGTGGCAAGCACTTTGGAATTGTTTATTATCTTGGAAAACTATTTCTGTCTCTCAGGACAGGCGTCAAAGAAGATATCTGGGATGAGTAGTCTGTGAAGAAAGTACCTTTATGCCTTAGGAACCGATGAACCATTCCAAATGATCCAGTGCTATGAACCATGCTGAACTGAAGACCAGCAAATGTTACCTTCCATCTCTTCTAGTGACTTTAGTGTTGTCTTCATTATCATCTTCTGTTCTCCCTTGCCAATTCACTCAGCAGTTTGCCTCCTGTGCTACATACCAGCTGACAGATGTATCCTTTTCATTTCACATACTCTTAAAGCCTTGGGCACTGCTTTCTGGAGATATTTATACAGCTCTGGGACCCAGTCGCTGGAAAAGAAGTTTGTACTGAATATTTGTTACATGTTCTACAAGATCCCACACACTCTTACTTTGCATAGAGTAAAACAAAAAAAAGGTGCTGATGCTTTGTATGTATTTTGTATGAAACTTAAACAGTACACCTTGCTACATTCTGACAGTCTTTCAATGGTTTTCTCCATAACAATATGAATTATATGAGAAACAATTTTCACATATGCCACAGTGCCTTCAAAACCTATCTACCGCCAAGTTTCTTCATTTCCTACAAGCAAAGACAGTGGGAGAATGTCTTCCTCCTGCACATCACAAGACATCTCTGTGTCCTCATCTCAAACACTGGAAGAGGAAGGACATCTGCAACAAACCAACACACTGCTGAGTGTGTTCCCCCGCAGCAGTCTGTAAGAGCAATCAGCCATGTGCTGATTCTGCTGGCGTAATTTCTTCCTCTTATTTTAATCGATATGGGACAAAGTGTGGAAATGGTATAAAGATCATTATTTTTATTTTTAAATTCTCTCTTTTCCTGTGTGTGTATTTCCCTTTCAGCATACTTTATAGAAATACTGGCTACCCATTGAATAATCAACTCCTGGCTCTGCCAGAGGAGGGTGGCAGACTCTGAAGGCTCTTTTGCTCAGTGTTGTACCACTGTTCTCTCATTTAGATGATCAATGTAGAAAAAATAAACACAGAATTTCTGAAAAATGCCATAGCAGAACCCTTAAGGTAAAACAGCTGGCCTTTGCTTCAGTTTCTAGAGCAGCATTTTAATAAACATTAGTCATGGTGATTATGGAACACTTTATCAAGGATACATCTTTTCCAGCATTATTCTGGTTTTGAGTCCATATTAGCATAATAACTTGCATTATTAGAATAATTTGAGATGTTTTAAGGACATGACTGGAGAATAAGAAGCTCAGGCTGGAAAGCATCTGATTGCCATTTGCTTGTCTTGCTTGCCAGGGCCAATTAACATATTTCTTCCATTTTCGCCTTTGTTTGACTTATCAAAATACAAATGTGCTGCAGACTTTCAGAATCACTTAGGCTCCTTGTTCAGGCTTTAGAGGCACATAGCAACACGAAGCACATTCATGCAGATTAAGTGCTCTTTGGAGTATTAGAAACCACTTAATCTGTATAAATATGCTTCAGGTTGCTCAGTTTTTACAACACCTTGAGAAGGAACTGCAGTGGTTCAGAAAAGCGTGTGATGCATTATTTAAAAGAAGATATATAATCCATGATAAATTTATCTTCCAAGTGACTATTGTCAGATTCATAGTTTATTTTTTTATATTTTGTACTTCATTGCACTGTGTTAATGCAAGTGACAAGGGGAATTTCCTATTATATACTCTATTACTTTCAAAATTCTGTTTTTATCACTGTTGATTTAGAAGATAAGCATGAGAGATGTATAAGTACTGAGCAATTTTACTTTACAAATATGTGCAGCAGGAAGGATTTACACTTTTAAACAGAAAAAAGGTAAAGGGTATTTATTTTCTCATCTAGCTAAATATGTTAGCTCATGCATAAAAAAGTTTACCTTTTTAGTTTCCATTGGCTCTAATTTTCATTTGCAGTAGAGCTGAAAAGAATGAGGTATGAGACAGGACTAAGAACATCATATTAGAATGTTAGCTATTTTGCTTTCGGGGTTTACGGTGCCATTTATTCTAATAACTCTTCATAGTATAGTTTAATTATTGCCAAAAATAGAAAGCATGGTTGCATTGCGCAGCTTTCCCAGAGGATGTCTTATGTACCCTGAGATAAATTTAAGCTCTACATTTAATATATTTGCAACTGTAACTGTGTCGTATTCTGAAATCTCTTGCTATTCAAATGTTTTCAGAGGCCATTCACAAGCAGACAGTGACATAGACAAGACAGCGTTCATCATAAAATGCAAAGAAATAAGTAAGACTTTTGGAGACTGGGTGCCCTCTGAAGAACAGAATTCAATATACTGAATTCTAATTTATCATCAACTTTTGAGTTTTAATATCAAGAAATACCTAGTATGGAAAAAAGCCTACACTCTGTGGTCCATCTCGAAGGATGATTTATTAAATGCCGACCTTCCCTACTTGTATTTCTGGGGCTATTGGCCCCTTGAGTTGCAGGGCAGCATCTGTTCCAGGTGTGGAAAGTCAGTGTTGGCTGCTGGAGGAGAGCGCCGTGTCCCCTGCTCTTCACCCGTGAGGTCCTCCATTTGCCGTGGACGCACCGCTGCAAGCGAGCACGTTGAGGCTCATCTCTCCCCGAGGTTCTCCTGCGTGGGCAATAATGGCCACAGTGGGACTTTCCCTTCCACCGCGATCATAACCTCACCGTGGCTTTAACAGCTGCTGGCATGGCTGCTGTGTTTCCTGCCCTGATACGTGTGAGGGAGACGGTGGGAGCAGGGGAATTCTTATTTGCATGTTAGGGCAGGCTGAAGGCTCCTTTGAAAGACATTGAAAAATACAAATGGACACGCAAGGGGCAGAATGAGGCCCGTTTGCTGGGTGCAGAGTTGGCTTTTAGCCTTTGTTCCTTTCACATAACTGAGGATGTGACCTTACTTGTGAAGGGGACGGTTGTGTGTCTGCTCTGGGTCATTTCATTGTCCCTGTAACAAAGTTCTTTGTTTTACAGAGATTTGTAAATTAACCTTTTTTCTTTTTTTTTTTTTTTTTTTTTTTTTTTTTGGTAGAGAATTCCAAATGTTCTCTTTGTAAAAATAAGTTTTAAAAAATTACAAAGAAGGTATGGAAATTCTAATCTTTTGCTGTGATAAGCAGTATCCAACTACAGTAAACTGAGTGAATAAGTCTTCTCAAATAAATTAAAAATGGATTTTAAAAAAAGGTGAGTTAATTAAGATAGCTTTCCTAATTTTCATCCAACTTAAGGGGCAGGTTGCATTGTTTATGAATTGCACAAAAAGTACTAGTATTTTTCCACTGTAGGCTTGGATTTAGTTCCCTGGGTTATATCCAGTGCAAACACTGAAAAGTTATATGACCTCTATTGCATAGAGGTCCTTTGCCAGAAGCTCATTGCAGGAATGGGCTTTAATATTTTTTGCATTGGATTTTACTCTACTGTTGGTTTTATCATTCTTGATCTCTGCAGATGTGCTTTATAGTTTGGATCATTTAATTTTGTTAGGCAAACGTGCTTCATTTTTTAATTATAAAATGTTAGCGTGCTCTTCAATAATAACTGTTTTTCCTTTCAGAGCAACTGATGCATAAAGTCTAATCTTTTGTAGTTGAAGGAAGATGTTCTTTAAGAATTGATTTAGGGTCTGCCTTTGTCTTACTAATTTTTAATTATATGCAGTCAGACCTGATTAATCTGAATTAGTATGCAAAGCCCCTTTTTAGGACTAAATAAAATCAGATTAACAAGTAAAGGATACATACAAGGATGTGTTATAAGGTTGGTTAAAAGTGAAATCCTTATTCTTAAACATACATACATTTCTGTCTGAACGGTTTATGTCTTCTAATTGGCTATATAGTTTTGCTGTGTTACAGAGCTTTAATTCCTTTTGATTTTTGAGTGAAGCATCTAGACATCATAATAATATTATGCAGTAAAATGCTTTTGGAGGATTTTATAACTGAAACTGGACT